AAAGCACTAAAGTGCAAACCCTCGGCCGGTAAACTAGCAAGTTGTAGCATCGCTGTATGCTGGGCCGTGTGTCATCGACAGAGCCAGTAACACGAGTTTCACCGTAACACAGGGTAGTTGCATTAGCGGTTAGAGCAATAGCTCAGGTGTTTCAGAGGCTCTCATATTTGCTTTATTCAATCTATCTGCTCTTCTGTGTTTCAGTGCTCTCGCCAGACGTTTTATAACTATTGCTTGCTCAGCATGTTTATCGTTTATCCATAGGGAACAGAGATCAAAACTGACAGGGGGCCGTGGATCGTATATACAACAAAGCGCATGCTCCGGCGATTAATTGACATTACGCGTGCGCGCTATATAGCTATATAGCCTGCAGGAGAGGGCGCGTGCACGATCGACCGCGCGTTGCCTTTTTCGCTTGTTTTCACGCCATATCTCTGGAACGCAGTCGTTTCGGGAAAATCACCACATTAATATCAATCTTCTCGTCGTTCACAACCCGTTGGTGCCAGTCATTGGCCCGCCTCATAGCCTGTAGTGCTAGAACTCGCGCGGACGGACAGACAGATGGAACAACTACTGTAACCCTCGCTGTGCATGCGCGCCGAGGGTTAATGAGCTACATTGAATGCAATGGCGAGTGAATGTGAATGCACGATTTTAGCTTTTGTGTGTGTGAAAACTACGAGGAAAGACAAACAAATCAACTACACCTGTGGGAGGCTTGTTTTGCTTGCCAATAGAGAGACAGTGATTAGCTGTGCTATTCCACTATAATTTACTTATTGGCAAGCAAAGTGGTTCAGGTGTATAGTACTGTCACTAATGTCATATAATTCTCACTGAAGTGTAGGTTCATTTCAGTTTATAGTGTGTATCCACATTAGTGAAAGCTGTTGTTGTTGCTGTTGTGTGTGTGTGTGCAGTAAGGACGGGCTAGTGGTGGTGAGGGACAGAAGAATGAGTGGAGAGCTGTGGAGCAGTCACAAGCGTCACCCAGTGGCCCGGTGCTGGTTCACCAGTCGCTACCTTGTGGCCGCACACCTCCCTCAGAGGAGGAGAACCGACGTGGTCTCTGGGGCCGCTGAACCTCTCCACAGATGCCACCGGGGACTACTGAGGGTCATGGACTTCTCCGTCGACCCTCTTTACTACACTCGCCTCCTCCCGAGTGTCTGTTCCAGTGGATACGATGAACCGTCCCGCTCCTTCTACCACCTGGACCTCAAACTACCCTATGACACCATTTCATGATACCGTCTCACTCCTTTTGCTCATCTTACAGTTTTCAGATGCAATTGCTTTTGTATTTGCTATCTCCTCCATTACTGCTACTATGGTTGCGTGTAGTTTGTACCACATGGCTTTTTTGCAGCGATGGATTTATGTTGTGCCGAAACGTGAAGCTTTTTGGGTCACAAATATCTATTACATAATCGAAGAGGGCACTTCTCAGCATTACCTTACCAGTTATTCTTTGCCAAGAATTTGCACTAAGGAAGTGTGTGTGTGTGTGTATGTACAAGTGTACCCAGTACCGCACTGTAATACCTAAATACATACATACATTCTTTACAGACCCCCACATCACTCGAAAGGAAAGTTTACTTTGACCCAAAGATATAAATACCCCCATACAAAAGCAAGCTCCCATACATTTAGCTGACACTTGTATATACGCACTCATGCTCTTTCTCTTCATCTTATTCCTCTGCCTCTCCTTATATGTTCCCTTATTTATGGTCATAAAACTTATCTAAGTGATTATACCGTGCCTGTCCCTATGGTTCTGGTATAGCTATACAGTCTCTTTTGTACTCCTTCATGTTAGTCTCCACCAGTCTCTCCTCCATACAATCCATGGGGACTGGGTCCCACTCTAGAAAGTACTTGTTGAAGAAGAAAGAGGGTCTGCTTGAACGGACACCGTTTCTCTCTATTATCCCTAATTCCATTGTCGTCAGGATGCAGATAGAATGGATCCCTTTTCTCCCCGGACAGACCTCCTTTAAATGCTCTTTAGAATACGAATTAACAATCCATATAAACTTGTCGATTATAGGCATACCATTGGTAGCATGAAAACCTGGTGGAGGTTTGGCACCTATGGCCTGAGGCAAGGCATAAAGAGAAGAATAGAAGTGCTCCTCAGGGGCATACACAGTCGTAAGGTATTCATGAAGTTCTTTTGCGACAGAGTCATTCAGTATAAAGTGAACGAAACTTCGACTCGCTGCAATGAAGTTCATACTCTTGTACAGTTTTATCCCCTCAGGCGGTTTTACCTGCTTGTTGCTAGTGCGTCTATTCTTTCCGTTCTTATCTAGGCGATACTTCCTTGTGAAACGCTCCTTCCAAAACAGTTGAGACAGAGGAAAAGCATCGACGGCCGAGTAGCCTCCAAGTTGCTGGAGAGAATGAACAATTTCTCTGTTAGTCTTTAGTGGAATCTCTCTTCCACAGAGATTGATGACATATCTCCATCTTGACTGCGGATATTTCTCTAAGTCCTGCATGCATTGTAGCTGTGCGTCAGTAATGGATATGTGCCCATAGTACACCTTTACTGGATTTGAGACTACAAATACGTTGTCCAGGCACTTTGACACCGCCGTGAAAAACCCCTTGAAACTCTCACCCTGTCTTGCATCTGGGTGAATGCAGTACAAATTGTGTGCTCTATAAATAGACTTGAGCAGTCGCAATACTTGTCCTGCGTTCGTGTGGACCACAAGGATGTAAGCTATTGGGAAATTCTTCTCAATCTGAGAGACATAAAAATTATTTTCAAACTGTTCTCTGATTTTATTGCAGCTCATATTTTTGAATTTCAGGGCAAAGGACTCCCACAGACGGTTATATTTCCAGGCCTTTAGCTGTGTGGTAAGGTTAGAAGTCTGCATCTCTTGTGCTGGATTCTGTCTCAACTTGTGGCAGTCTTTTTTGAGTGGCATCCACATCTGTGTCACCGTTCCTCTCTCCCAGGAGTGGAACGCAGGCGGCGGTGAGCAGTGTGGGCTGCTCTGATTCATGATGTGACTGTGATTTACATACTCATTGCAAATCTGTCTATACATCTTCCCTGGAGGTGGTTGAAAGACTTGGTTAGATATACCTATTATACACCTTTGATTATTGTACCTGCCTCTGTCTCGTTATTGGCCACTGATACAGGTTGAAGCCCATCTGTTTCGTTTCTGGCCATTGATGCCGGGGAAAGCCCCACTCGTATTGTAGCGGGGCTAGTTTGCCTTTGTCTGGTGCAGCCCCACGCCGACATAAAGTCCTGCCTTACGGTGACGGCACCGCAGCTGTTTATAGAGGCGTACGAAATAAAGATGAAGAGTCCTGTGAACGCGACGACGAGCATGAAGCCGTTTCTTCAGACGGCACGACGAAGGAGGACACTCCGCCATTTCTCCCTCCCGGCGCCGAGGAGAATTAGAGGGAGATTGTCTCGCGATGGCGCGCGGCCACAACAGTAATCCCGACAGTGGTCGGGTATTATAATACGTGTTTCTGCTCGCGCATGCGCAACCCTCCCGCCGCGCTGCATGTTGAATCGCATGTCGCATTACCTGTAGGTAATGTTTTTCCTATAGGTAGTACAGTGCTTTATTTGGGCTAGTGAGGCTTTCGACACTTCCTGCGCAAAGCTACGAATTTTTGGGAACGTTGCAGAGAAATTGCGACAACAGGCGCGTAGATACTCTGCGGGCGGGAGCGTTGCGCATGCGCGAGCAGAAACACGGTAGTGTGTACGTGTGAGTGTGTGACGACCAGTCAGTGGGCGGGAGCAGCTAAGCTAGGGGAGGTGGTGTTACACAGCTAGCAGTGCATGCAGTCTATGATTCGCTGGAGAGTGTATCGGGCCGGAGGCAGGATGCGTACAGTAACCAAGATGCAGATAATGGCCGCCGTTCTAGTGGGTTTTTTCCTCGGCTACGTTCTCCTACCGTCCACCATCAGCTTCAGCACGGACGAGGCCGACCAGGGAGACCTCATAGGTAAAGGTTTCTACAACGCGAAGCCTAGGGCGGCAGCAATCCAGATTTCGTCCGACGGCAGGGAATTTATTGTGGAAGGCAGAGCCAAGAGAATTCTGAGCGGGGCCATCCACTACTTTAGAGTGGTGCCCGACTATTGGGATGACCGCCTGAGGAAAATGAGGGCCTCGGGACTCAACACCGTGGAAACGTAAAGCTAGATAGCTAGACCAGGCGCATTTTTTTGGTATGTATCTCTAATTAGAGCGCAGGCGATAGCGCATGCGCGCGCAACATAAATACACGATAGCGCATGCGCAAAGTAAACTTCCTACTGACCAGTTTTATTAACCACAGGTATGTGCCCTGGAATGCTCACGAGCCAGTTCCTGGTGTGTTTGACTTCACTGGGATCCTGGACGTGGCAGAGTTCATAAAGACAGCTCAGCACCTGGGGCTACATGTCATTGTCCGACCGGGGCCCTACATCTGTGCCGAGTGGGAAATGGGAGGCCTCCCTGCGTTAGTGTTCTTTTATTAGCATCTTTCTTACATATATTACGTTCGATGCTCCACCCACCCAACCCAATGTCATCTTACATAATCAACAAAACTGATGTATATAAGTAATTGCATTATTATAGGCTTGCAACCACACATACCTCACACTTCGGCACTCATGGGTGTGGCTCCAACATATACTTCATTTTGTCTCACATCCTCTGCTGATCTTAGTAATCTATGTATATAGCAGCATAATGCTAAGACTGTTGCTTTTCTTCAGCAAGCGTACAGATGTGTCTTTATAAAGAGTGGTGTACCGGTCGAATTGTTAACGTTTATACATATAAGGCAGCAGTACGATGGACGCCACCTGCCTCCCACGAGTTACAATCCTACAATCCTACCCTGTGTTTCCCACGCTAGCTGTACAATGTGATTCGCAATGTGATTATTTAGATTACTCCGGGAGCTTCCTAATGTGTACATATGCACTGTACAATAATATCGTTAGAGTTTTGCTGAGAAAGCTTGACTGTGCATTGTTCACGCAGGTGTGTCAAGGCTAGTATTGTTAAACATGCTGATAAGGTTCCAGGCATGTGCATAACACGTTGCATCAATGTTTGTTTTATGTGCTGTTGGGGGAAATAAAATTGAGTGATATCAAACATTGATTTCGTGATGATATTATATGCACGATGTTTTGCTATGGCAACGTTTCTACGTATTTTAATGTTGGACTCTGTGGCATGTGGGAGAGAGCCGATCTGATCTTGGCAATTAACAAATAATTGGCGAATAAAGTGAGCCTACCTAGTCGTTTCAATGCAGGAATATCTATACAAGTGGAAAAATCATTTCTTCAAAATGAAGGGGGATGTAGGGATGGTGTAGATTATGAAAAAGGATGGCAACAAGAAGATGCTTCAGCCGACAACAAAAATCGTACATCCATCCCTACATCTTTCTTTCTTTTGCTCTGTATAAAAAAAATGTGTGCTTACTTGTCATAGAGTATGTAAGATACATTATTCACAACATAATTATCACAGTAGAGGTTGTGACTGTAAAGAAAGATGTAGGGATGGATGTACGATTTTTGTTGTCGGCTGAAGCATCTTCTTGTTGGCATCCTTTTTCATAATTTACACCATCCCTACATCCCCCTTCATTTTGAAGAAATGATTTTTCCACTTGTTCCAGTTATTTTTTGCGCATACTCAGCCCCACCCTTTTCGGGTTGCAGAGCGAGGGGGAGGGGCTTATGCGGCGCACATCGTACGCGCGCACGTACGCAGGCACGGCGCGCGGGCTCCCCTCTACCGGTGTTGCAATTTTTACGCACTTGCGCGCGCCTCTCGCGCGTAGCGGGCGCATGCGCAAGTGAGACATCAACATAATTATAATGAATGTGATTTGTTGTGCAAGGAGTTCACTCTTTTGAAGAGGTCTACCCAGCTGAAGTCAAAAGTGGAGGCCAAAGAGCGTAGTGGATGTGTAGTAGAAGCTTGTAGGGTCCAGGTCTGACAAAGTGCACAGCACCTTAGAACTGCAACCCAAATTATAGTATAGAAGGCTAGGATAGGGTTTTACAATAGCTATGTCAGCAGTGGTGATAAGGGCACAGGATGTGTAAAGTCAGCACAGTGATAAGGGATGGGGAAAACACTTCAGAGCCCCACCTGCTAAGGCCCCTGATAAGCTGAGTACAGTGATCTCCTTCCTCTGACAGGTCAGCTACGTTGAGACACCAGTGCCCCTTAGACAGAAGATCACAGCCTTTAAAGACCTGCAGAGGTAGAAAACTTCCCAGGGGAAAACCAGATAATATAATTATATGTAGTTGTAAGAAAAGAGGAGCCTATAAATAGTAACCACCTTGTTCAGAATACTATGTGAAGGTGCATGCAGGAAGGGTGCTGATATGCTGCATACAATAGTTATGTGCACTGATGTTTAGGTGAGTAGTGTGTAGCTTCAATGTAGTAGTACCCCGACAGGCATAGCTACTGACTGTAGAGTGCACTCCTCAAGGGAGGAGGATAATATTCTGTCAGAGCTAAGACCAGTCTCCTGAGGGATTACTCACTACTGTTGGCATACAACACAATTGTCAGTGTACAGACATTCACCTCTAACAGTGTGCTACCCCAACTTTGTGATGCAGTTACAGTCCCCTAAAACTTTGTGGTAAAGACAGTGCAGTTTCCCTACACTTGAAACCAGTCAGCTCCATGAAGTCTGAGACTTTAGGAGGGTGTTAGAACATGAAATGGGGAAGCCACCTCATAAATTGCAGGGACCCCACCCTCTTCTTCCCCAACATGTTCAGAAGTCATGTACAGGACATGTAAATCACACTTTCTACAGTGGTTATAGCATGAAATGGGGAAGCCACCTCAATAAATTGCAGGGACCCACCCTCTCCTTCCCAACATGCTCAGAGAGCCCATGTATAGTCTATATGAGCACATGTGGCTTCTTTAACTCTCCTTATAGAACCAACAACATTGAAGTGGTTTCCTGTGTGCAATAGATACATAGACCTCTGGTGAATGTCATCCATCAGTTGTCTGTCGACATCATGAGGAGACCGCTGCCACTGCCCATGCTGCTGGCTGTATGAGAAGACAGGGGTCTGGAGCAGGTGTGCCAAAGACAGCATCTCAATGTCAGTTCCCCAGGTGCCATCTTGGTCCATACCTGTGGAAGCTATATAACTTTGAATACTGTCATAGCCTACGAGATGGTGGCCTAGGAAATATTGGGCATTATTTGTCATGTGGTCAATGATAGCATGTCGTACACCAATATGCTGATCTGCAGACCCTGTCAGAATGTAAGAAAATGCTCGAAAGAGGCAGTTACCATCTCCCTGTACGCGTCTCACACTACGCATGTCTGGACGTGTGAGGGGGACAGCGGTCCTCCTGGTCTTAACTGGTGTTTGTGTACAATATTGGAGGCCAGCTCTTGGCATGCACTTTGCTGCCACTGTACATCTACAGAGTGGAAATTGAAAGGACTAGCAGCAGGTGTTTCTGTACCTGTAATAACACATCCTCATTATCCCTTGCAGATGATTTGTGGATTCTTAACCTTGACCCGTTTTGTACACTTGTGGGAAACAGTCTGTCTCGACAGCATGATGCGTCTCCTCTTTCTTGTTAGATGATGTAGTGGTATATCATACAGAGCCGTTAGACGTCAGGTCTCTGGTTCTGAGGCGGTTTACTTCCCCAGGCGAACTCACACTAACACTGATGGACTGGTGGATCAAAGGGCTGTTAGGAGTGGGGAACAGACCTGTAGTGACCTAGTATCCCTGGATAGAGCCACATATGCCATTCCATCACTGATACCTCCTCAGACAGGTCTACTATGCGCACAGGCTAATGACCGGACCTGGTACACTTGGTGGATGGTAATTGCATGAGGCTAAATGAGATGCGGGACATTGTCTACGATACACAGAGAATTCTTCTTATCGACCCTGACCTGCATTCTGCACCTTATCATCTTACATGAGCGCATCAAGGTACATTGTATCAAACTGCACTGTCCCATGCTGGTGCTGCTATTGACAGCACTGTACCAATATGCATCCATTGTATTCTCCTATGCCCATGCCTTGAGTTTGTTCTTAATTGCAGGCCTGCCGCACTTTTCTCAGACTAGGACCTGCTCACATAAGCTTTTGTCTACAACGATACACATGTGCACTTGACATCGTCAATTCACTTAGTCGGTTTGCACGGCTTTGAGCACTCCACATCTAATACTGGGCAGGCCCCTTATCAGAAAATTCTTTCCATCTGATCAACACAAGCCATCACGTCCACGCCAGAGAAGAAAAAGGTTACTGTGGAAGCAGCGATCTTACCCATCTTCATCTTACTGCCAGCCTCCAGAGTTCGACTTCTTTAGCACATGCCCTCACCCCTTCTCATTAGCAGGGATTGGGAACTCTCTAACATGCAGTAGGCTGCCTCATAGAAGAGTAAGGCTCGTGTCATACTGAAGTGTGCCGCACTTTTCCAACAGTCGAATGGGAAGTTCTAGAGTGTAATAGACGTAATCCGCTGGAAGCGCATGGACGCAGCAAAAGCGCTGCATAGTTCCCTGCGTTAGTTGTGGAAGACTTGCAAACCAGTGTCTTTAACGGCGAGCTACCCACTGTTCCTTTCCAACTCTGGCCTTACTCAGTGTATCATGCTACACAGCATGCAGGACTTGAACTCTTCCTCTGAGTGTCAAACACAAACCTTACCGTCGCTAGCCAGGTTGGTTCGTCGGGACGTTACACTCCTATAACACGGTGTCAATCATCAGTTGGTAGCGGCGCCAAAGCTGTATCTAGCTTTTG